TGAGTCAATGTCCAAGCCCAATCGGGCAACACCAACAGCATAACCCAATGTAGCTCTCTGTCTTCAATGGCGCCAGGCGCCCTATCTACTCTACAGCCTATCTCTACAACTACAGCTATGAAGCAACCAGACAACTTGACCACCAGCGAGTGATGATGTCAACTCCAATGCCGACCTCCTCTCCACCAGGTACGTCCTCTCTCTTCACCCTCACTCTGCCTTGTTATCCCAAAGAGCGCCCTTCACCTCCGAGGAACCACCTTCGCCCTTCACCCTCTGCGCACACAGGCAGCCCGGCTATGGCCGCCAGCGCCCAGTGCCCACAGGCAGCGCCCTACCGCCTAGCGCTGTCCTGCTTCCCTCAGCCTTAGCACAGCGCAGCATGCATGCAACGCAGCAGCGTGCCGGCCTTGCTCGCAATGGCCAAGATCCCTGCCCACTCGCCCTGCTTGCCTATATGCCAGTGTTGCGTGTGGGTGGCCTCCCTTAAGCCTGCCTCCGGGCCCCAGTGCCTGAACCCAGGCCCGATGCAGTTGAGGCCCGGGGGATGCAGTTGCGCCTCTTCCGTCAAGGCCTGCGGCCAGCTTCAGATAGTGGGCCGATTTCACTTTGGCATTTTCGGCCTCTATACCCAGCATGCATTCTCGGCCTCACGGTCAAGTGCCCAGGGCCTAACTAACTCAGAGGCCCTGGGATTTCCACATTTGCGGAGATCTGAGACTCGGTGCACTCCAACCAACTGGCGCGCTGCAACTGTATGGACCCCACTTCGTGAAATGTTTGCAGGAGAGGGTTCTTGTTGATTTGCTGGCCCGCCTTCACTTAGGGCAGGCACGAGGCTTACTGGGGGCCTTAGCCCAGAATATGTCCATCAAGGCAAGGCCCCTTCTTGAGGGCTCAATCCTCACATTCCATCCCCCTTAGCTTCGAAAGTCCGCTGAGATGCTTACTTCGCAGGTGCCTTCTTTTTTAGCATCCTCTCATATTCTGCCACCACCCGAGGAGCTGTGTCAATCAGTTCCTCTCTGGTGAACCACCGGTCTTCTTTTGGATCCGTATGATGCCTGAATCTGACGCAATATTCTCTTTTGGGTTTAGGAGGTCTTCCCCTACCCAATGGCTTCTGAACAGGCAGATCTCTGTGATCCACAATGTCGTCGATGTCCACTTGACCATCCATGGTTGGGGGCAGCATCGATCTCCTTGAAGGGAATTGATCAGTCTCAGCGAAAGGTGCAAGCTTTGAGGCATCAAAGACAGGGTGAGTGCGTAGGTGTCCAAGGATTCAGATAACATAGGTAGGACCATCCATCTCATCCCCTACTACATCCAGGACTTCCCAGGGACCAAAATACTGAGGCATTAGTTTACGAGAGATCCTGAATTCCTGTCGTAGCTCACTAGCCTTGACCCAAACACATTCCCCTACCTGAAATGAGGACCGTCGTCGATGCTTATTCTCAGAAGCAATCATTGCTTGCTGAGCTTTCTTGATGTGCTCGACAGGTTGATGCAGCAACTTCTCATAGTGCACACCATACTCAAGTGTGCCTAGAGTTGCAGAGGATCAGTTTTCAGGTAGGAGGAAGTCTAGAGCAGATCTAGGCTTCCATCCCAAGTGCAGCTGGTTAGGACTAACGCCTGTGCTGTTGTGTACAGCGTTGTTGTACAGGCTGGCGATGAGAGGCAACTTCTCATCCCACTCATCCTGGCTGGGCTTGATGTAATGCCTCACCAGGTGCTGCACAACTCTGTTCATCTGCTCAGCCTGTCCGTTGGCTTCGAGATGATTCCCTGAAGTCATCTGAAGTTGACTGCCCATCTGCTCAGCAGTTTTCTTCCACAGCTCACTTGTGAAACGGACATCTATGTCACTAACGATTGTCTTTGGTAAACCAAAGTCACGCACCCAGTTGTCCTGGAACAACTTGATGACATGGTCAGTCCTTGCGGTCTCTGGCATTGCAACTAGTCTAGCGTACTTGGTGAATCGATCGATGATGACGAAAATGTGCCTCTTGCCACTCTTACTGGTCACCAGGGTGTCCATGAAATCCATGGAAACACTTTGTCCTGGACCAGCGGGGATAGGTAAGGGCTTCAACAACCCAAGCGGTGCTTGAGTTCGCGGCTTGTCCCGCTGACAGACCTGATAGGTCTCTACATACTTCTTTGCGTCATCTAGCATTCCAGGCCACCAAAACCGCTGTACTAGATTAGAACTCGTCTTCTTGTAGCCGAAGTGTCCAGTTGCGTCGTGACATTCTCCTAGAAATAAACTACGCAAACTCTCACTTGATGGAACTACTAACCTTTTACACCCGGCCTTATCAAGAAAGCGTAACTCATCCACCATCACAAACTCACTTTCTGTGGCCTTGTCTTCTCTAATACTATAAAGCAAATAGAGGGTCTTGCGTGACGGCCCCACGAGAACCCGGCTGCCGGTGTTGGGGAAAGCGCGGTGGAAAGGGGTGGGCCCGCGGGGAACTCTTCACCTGTTTTTTTTCCCCCCGAAACGGCAGGGGCACGTGGGAATCCGAATTTTGCGCAGGGCCTGGCAAGATGCACTCTAATTTTTTTTTTGGTTTGGGGCATTCGGGTGATTTCGGGTGATATCCGATTTTTTTCCTTCACCGACGACCGTCGTTGTTTGGGCCAGTGAGTCGTATCCGGCCGTCGTCTTTTTTGTTGATCAACGGTGCCGGTTCTCTCTAATCGCCATCCGGGAAAATTCCACTGGCGCCGTTGATTTGTGAAGTTTCCATGAAGGGCCTAGCCGGCTGTCCAACCACCCCACGCGCTTCGCCGTTCCCGAACCAAGGCTTGCTGCTTCGTCGTCGCTTCGCGCCCGTCGAACGAAGTCGCTTCGTTGTTGCTCCGTGCGCGCGTTTTCACGGAGGGGGAGAGAGAGAGAGAGAGAGAGAGAGAGAGAGAGAGAGAGAGAGAGAGAGAGAGAGAGAGAGAGAGAGAGAT